GGCAGGGTGCTGACCCGGTGTAATTCCTTGTCTCAGCTGAGCAACAAATGGATCACTGTTTAGTACCTTAGTACTATGTGTGTAGTCAACATTCGGCAAACAGAAGTTGTATTTTAAGCAAAATAGATTCATGCACTCTTGACACTACAGAGACAGTGTCCAACATGAATCCAACAGCACAAGATAGTGTAGCAGAAGCTCTGATGGTGCATGTCGTTGAGCTTGCAGACTATTTGGCACCACTTCTGTCCATGACAAAACAGTCAAACCTGATGCAGGAACTTCTGCTGGTACTTGTGGTTTAACCTAACTCGTTGGACATTGCAAAAGTCTGTGGTTGTTTCTGTATCATGTTCCCTGACCTTGTAGACTGGCATTTCTCCTTAGCCCACGCTGTAAAACATCTACAATGATGGCATGCCTTGAATGGTGCTTACTGCACGTTGTCTTACTGCTAACAACAGGCTTCTGCAATACCAGTTCCGACTGCAGTAGAAACCAATCTCCAAGCGTTGCTTTTTCCCCCATGAGCTTTTTGAATATCGCATTTTGAAATTCAACTGTGATACTCCACTCCTTTAAAGCAATAAAGATATGTACTCACCTCTGCCCAACCTTCCTTGAGAAATGTTGTCTAAAGGTACATTGATGCTGCAGTTCCCAGTACACAGGCGCTGCTGCCACAAGGATACTTTGCCTTGGCAGTGCCTGCATTCCTGGTCCTCACCTGCTCTGTGTAGTCGTGGAGGGGAAAAGGAAGGAAGGCATGCCCCTTGCAACCACACAGTCCGAAATCTACATAGGGGTCTGCAAAAGCAGGTGGAAGCAAGCAGGTGGAAGTGAGGGCTGCATACTGTGTTGGAGAAGTGTTACCAGTCTGTCTCCCCCGATGCTTGTCTACACGTAGTCACGTTTCTTGAGACAACAAGCAAGATCCACCCACCTCCCACATAACCCGAAGCAAGCCTTAAGAGCTCCTAGTTAAGCAGACCGCGGCTGAGAGCAGCATCACTCCATGGAGCTTCAGTGAGAGTGTAACGCATCTCTGGCTCTCCAGGCAGCCTCTACTGCAGGAGCACTCCCCAGAGACACTCCGCTTGCTCCTCAGCCCTCACGGCTGCAGAGGGCTGCCTTCGAGCTGTGTGATAAGATGCCTTTACATATGAGTTATCCCATGGGAACATAACAGATGCAAGGCAGCACAGCAAAACCTTGGGTTTGTCCTGTTCAGTGTCATGCTTCAGTTGCAGCTTGTTCCCATTTCTGGGAGGCTGAGGACCTGAGCACCCTTTCCTGCAGCAAGGAACAAGATTCTCGTCCTTAACTGGGAGATAAGCTCTTGGAGGCACCATCACGAATTAGGCCAACTAAGATCTTCACATCATGTTTTTAATTGGAGCACCAGTCCTTCTCATGCGGCTTACAGCAAGGCACGAATGCCTGCAGCTCACTGTACTGCATATGGTGTGCTAGGACACAGCTGAGGACATCTAACAGAGATAGCACAAAAAGCAGAAATACCATTGATTTTCCTGTCATTAGCAATCCTGTCATTAGTTACCACATGTGCAGAGTAACCCCATCCATTCACATCATGTTCCTGCTTCTTCTAAAACCTGGGTAACTTGTATTTCCTCTATTGTTTCACAGTGTTGACAGTGGAGATGAAAGCAACAGTGAGATGGGGACTGACCTCCCAGCCCTTTCTGGGGCTTCCCCCTTTCACATCCCCTCCCTGATCTGTGTCCTTCCTTTGCCCAAGAGCTTCACTGAAGGAACCACTGCTGTGATGAAATCTATCTGGTTTTATCAGAGGGATTAGCCAGGATTATGTTAGCAAAACACCACTACACCCCCTTGCCTCTGTCTAACAAGGGCCAACACAAATACTGCTCAGGCAAAGGGACATCTCTCTTTTTTTTTTCATCTTTTTTTTTTTTTATCTCTCTTTTTTTTTTTCCATAATGAGTTGAAGGTTTTCGAGAGGTAAAAAACTTGGTTTCCAATGTTGCAGTGCTTTGCTAGGAAATATTTCCAAAGGAAATGAAATAAACAGCCATTGTGTGATGAGGTCTAAACCCCCTTTACTGAAGTCTTGCCGAATCCTCATCTTGTTCAGCAAGACGTCCCAGCCCTGAGATGTTCTCTTCAAATCAGTGTTTCTTTGGGGCTTTTCCTCTAGCATCATGGCTGGAGCATCTTAACTACTCTGAGTTCAGTCGTCTTACTTGCATCCCAACAGGCTAAGTCATATGCTACTTTTGGGATAAAAATCAAAACAGATTGGGGAGCTTGGCTTTGCACAGACTATCTGCAATATGTGGATTATGACCAGACACTAGCATATGGACTCACACAGGCAGATCCGCATCCTTTTGCCTTCACCTAAAACTCTGAGCACACCATTTAAAGCTCTCTGAACAATTTTCCCTCCCTTATATGCCAACAGCGGAGTTCTCTAAGCTCCATGTCCCTATAGACTGGGAGCAAAAAGTGCTGAAAACTTGGAAGACTATTTTTGTGCAGCGCATCTGACCTGCTCATGTGCTGAGCGACACAAACACCTCCCCTGCGTGCTTGTCACCGGATGGCTTCTAGCCTAGACTGGCAAGCCCCAGATGTTGAAAACACCGTAAGAAGTTCCAAGTGGACAAATTCCTCATTCCAGTTCCCATGCCTGAGCTTGGCAACTGGCTCCACTTTGCACACCTGGAAACATTACAGCCCAACTGCATTTTTGAAGACTGTACATTTCCCTTCTGCCCATTAAATATGACATTTGCTCAGTATACTTTATTGCAATAATACCATGTCAGTTAGAGAGGCTGCAAAATTCACTTGCCAGCAGTAAACACTTCTACTCTTATGTCTGCACATGAAACGCCATTTTCTCTTCTTACAGCTTGAGAGGGCAATAGTTATTCTGGAGGCAGGAATGGCAGTCACCTGCCTGACTTCTTGTGAAAACCAGGGGCAGCTGACCTCATGGAAATATCACTCCTCATCTAAATGCATGTACCCACAGCACAAGTGGTGGGTCTGTAGTCTCTTTGAACCAAACTAGCACGGGGTATGGATTGAATGGATTATATTACAAATTTAAATACTTGCTTTTAAATAGCTCATGTAACGTATCACAGAGGTTTGACTGTGCAGTCATGGATTTCTGCTTTGGACTGCCTAGCCCTACATAACCTCTACCTCTTGGATATGAACAGGTACATGTTGCTAATTAAGACAGAAGAAACACGAATGTACAAGCAGAGAAAAAGGCAGAGGGAGCTCATACAGCTTCTGAGAGAAGCACTCCCCAGGTTTTGGTGCTCTTGATGGAAAGCCAGGGTTGCCCCTTCTCCCGTACTGTTTGATCTTTCCCCTCAATATCCCCAACTGCCCACTGAACAGTTGTAAAGAGACACTCACTGGAGATGCACCTTGCTTTGCCAGTCTTGCCACACAAATGGTTTGCAGGACCCAAAGAAAGCCCTTATGGTAACGCAGCAAGAGGATGCAGAAGATGCTTCAGAAGCAGTGAGCAAATACATACGCAGGAAGGCATGGGAAAAGCGCATTGTTAGGCTCTCTGCAAAAGAGGGGCTCGCTCTGGCCCTCAGCCATGTGCGTGCCGGCAGTCTCCTTGGTGGAGCCTGGTGCTTGCGCATTGCTGAGGGCTGGGACACGCTAGCCTGCCAGAGCAGGGTGGGAGTGTGGTAGGGCTGGAGGGGCACAGCATGGCTGGCTCAGAGACCGAGGCAACGCAGCTCCTCTGCAGAAAAGCAGTGGGCAAAACAAGAGCATCTCTTGACATCACTGGAGAAAGCCACCATGTTCATCAGCCAGCCATGCCAGAGAGGACTGCCCCTTGTGTCACATCCCCAGCTGAGCGCAACCAAGCTGTTTCACTGCCTGTGTTTCTCCTAAACTAAAGGCATCTACCAATGTACCTGTCCCCTCTGCCAAACAGGCACTCGAGGAAAGTTGATTACCACCTCCACTAAACCTCTGCCTCCACCTGCTTCATGCAATCTCTAACAGAGATGTCAGCAAAGCCCTAGCACAGTTTCTGGGTCCCCCACAATCTCGCTGTGCACCATTTTGAAGGTGTCAATGAACAAGTCCATCCACTCTTGCCGCTCATTTCCAGTGGCAAACTTGGCTTTTTCGGCGGTAAAGGCCAAAGTGGCCACCAGCTGGGTGTACATGCTGGGGTCCTGGTTTTCCCGCGTGGAGTTTAGGAACTGGGCGATCGAGTGTATGGTGCTGGGGAAATCTATGTTGACTCCCTCTTCCATGGGGCGGAAAATAAGTGGGTTTACGTTCCCAGGGTTCCTGTCATCTGCAAGTGAGCGTCAAAAGAATATTTTCAGGGCTTGCTAGCAATGGCTGTGTCTCTGAATGCTACCTGGCTTTCCTACATG